ATAAAATTTTTATTTGGGGATAATTTTAGATTTACAGAAACATTTTAAACATAGGTCAGAGCATTCTTTTATACTCTTTGTCCCTTTTCCCCTATATTAACATCTTAAATAATCCTGATACATTAGTCAAAACTAAGAAATAAATACTGCTACATTATTATAAACTAACTCCAGGTTTTCTTTGATTTCATCAATTTTCCACTAATATCCTTTTTCTGTTCCAGGATCTAATCCAGGATTCTACCTTGCATTTCAAATTTCATATTAGTCATCTCTGGTCTGTAATATTGTCTCAGTATTTCCTTATTTTTCATGACCTTGGCATATTTAAGGATATTAGTAGAATACCTTTCAATTTGAAGTTATCTGATTTTCTTTTTTGCACGTGTAGACTGAGGTAATGGGGTTTGCTAAAATATACCACTGTGGTTAGGTGCCTTTATCATGGCATATTGGAGATACATGATATCAACTAGACTTATCACCGGTGGTTCACATGGTTAGCCCTGTTTATGTGGTTGATGTTGTGTTTGCTAGGTTTCTGAGCTGTGTAGTTGCTATTTCTCCTATTTATACATTATTCTTTAAAAGTGAGCTGCTAAGTCTTGCCAACACTCAAGGGAAGAATTAAATTACACATCATGAGGTATGAGCATCTGCATATATTATTTGGAACCTCTGTAAGGAGGATTTATAACTTCTCTCTCACTTATTTATTTATTTATTTAATCGTTTATTTAAGTCAGTATGGACTCAGAGGAGTGACATCAGCATGAGACCTCAGCCTCTGTTCTCTGACAAAGAACAATGGTTAGACATCTATCTGTTAATAAAAGTAGCCTTGAGAGATGTCAGAGGTCCACTTAAGAAGCATCAGGAACACAGTGGAGCAAAAAGTTGAGAATAACCACGTAAGGATAAGAAGAACAGTTTCATTTTGTCTGCATTATTTCATTTCCCACGTGTATACAGCCAACTAATTTCTGGCAAGGGCATCAAGGATATACAATGGGGAAAGGATAATCTCTTAAATAAATGATGTTGGGAAAACTATATATCCACATGCAAAAGAATGAAATCGTACTGTTTTCATGCTCCATGCACAAAAACAGCTCAAAATAGATTAAAGATTTAAGGGAAAGACCTGAAAGCGTGAAAGTCCTAGTAGAAAATATAGAGGAAAAGCTCCTTGACATTGGCCTTGGCAATAAATTTTTGGAATGTACACCAAAAGCACAGAAAACAAAAGCAAAAATAAAAAAGTGGGAGTATAATAAATTAAATTGTTTCTGCACAGCAAAGGAAACAATAAAATAAATACGAATGTAAATTGCTACAGCCGCTATGGAAAACGGTATGGACATCCCTCAAAATATTAAAAATAGAACTACTATATGATCTAGAACTACTATACGATTTAAAATCAGTATTTTAAAGAGATATCTGCACTGCCATGTTCTTTGCAGCATTATTCATAATAACCACGATATAGAAACAACCTTAGTATCTGTTGGCAGATGAATGGTTAAAATGTCATACACACACACACAAATATATATATACACATACACACATATGTATGTATATATAGAGAGAATAGAAAATTGTCCAGCCTTAAAAAGAAATTCTGCCATTTACAACATTTACAAAAAAATCCTTCCATTATGAACCTGGAGGACATTATCTAAGTGAAATAAGCCAAATACGAAAACAAATTTTGTGTGATCTCACTATGTGAAACCTGAAAAAAAAAAATGAACTCAAAGTTTGAGTAGAAAGGTTGTTAACAGAGGCTGAGGGTTGGGGAAAATGGGGAGATAGTGATCAAAGGGTATAAACTTTCAGTTATGACATGAATTAAGTTCTGGAGACCTAATGTATAGCATGGTGACAATAAGTTAATAATAATATATACTTCAAAATTGCTAAGAGATTTCAAGTGTTTTCACCACACCACGCACAAACAAAAATAATAACTATTGGAGGTGATGGATATGATGATTAGTTTCATTGTGGTAGTCAATTCACAATATATACATGTATCAAAACATTCATGTAGTATATGTTAAATATGTACAAATGCTCCTAGATTTACAATGGGATTACATCCTGGTTAACCCACTGTAAGTCGAAAATACTGTAAGTCGAAAATGCATTTAATATACCTACTGAATATCATAGCTTACCTTAGCCTATCTTGAATGTGCTCCGAACACAATGAATGTACTGTAAACTGCTGAGTGTTTACCCTCACTATCGATCGCATGGCTGGCTGGAAGCTACAGCTTACTGCTGCTGCCCAGCTTCACAGAGGCGTGTCATACTACATGTCTCTAGCTGGGGAAAGATCAAAATTTGAAGTACAATTTCTACTGAATGTATATTGCTTTTGCGCCATTGTTTGGGGAAAGATCAAAATTTGAAGTACAATTTCTACTGAATGTATATTGCTTTTGCACCATTGTAAAGTTGAAAAATTGTAAGTTGAACCAGCGTAAGTTAGGAACCATATGGTCTCAAAAATAAGTCAATATGGAACCAGATTTTTAAAATTCCTGGTTTATAATCTAGTACTATGATTCATTTTGTTGTTCTAATTGTTTCATATTTGGCCATTGGGAGATTTTTCATTTGGTTCCTGTGTCCTTCTGACTGCTTTTATCTTTTTTGTTTTTGTTTTTGACTACTTCCTTATTCTCTAGCACTAAAAGCCTAAAAGATTCACCAGGTTCATTTTACATTTCACCGGCCCTGGCTCCAGAATTAATCATTTCCTCAAGGAGCTCTGGTTCCTATGTTGCCTTCCTCTTTTTTTTTTCTTTTTAAAACTATCTTATACCATTTTTAAGTGTACAGTTCAGTAGTATTAAGTATTATGATGTAATGAATATTTGTGTCCTCTCCCACAGTATGGACGCCCCTCAAAATATGTCTGTTGAAGCCCTAACAGAGGACACGATTCTGCAAGTCCTAGCTGAGATGTGTCTGTTGAAGCCCTAACCTCAGGTTGGCTGTATTTAGACATGGGGTCTCTAAGGAAGTAATTAAAGTTAAATTACTCATTATAGTGGGTCCTGATCTGATTTTGTGTCCTTGTAAGAGGAGACACCAGAGAGCTCACTCTCTCTCTCTCCCTTCTCACATGCACTGAGGAAAGGCCATATGAGATCACAGAGAAGGTGGTTGCTGCAGGAGGGAGTTCTTACCAGACACCAATCCTGCAGGCACCCTAATCTTGGACTTCAGGTCCAGACTGTGAGAAAACAAATTGCTGTTATTTAGGCCACCCAGTCTATGGCGTTTTGTTATGGCAGCTTAAACAGACTAATGCAAGTATATTCACAGTGTTGTACAACAGATCTCCAGATGTTTTTTCATCTTGTAAAACTAAAACTCTATAATCATTAAAAACTCTCCATTTCTCCTCTTCAGCACCATTCTATTTTCTGTTTCTAGGAATTTGACTACTTCAGCTATCTCAGCGGAATCAGAGAATATTTGCCTTTTCATGATTCGGCTTGTTTCATTTAGCATAATTTCTTCATCTGTGTTGTAGGATGTGACGTGATTTCCTTTCTTTTTAAGGCTGATAATAAATATTCCATTGTATTTATAGAGCATATTTTGTTCATGTTGTCTTTTTTTAAGGGCATCACAATTTTTTCTCAGAAGCAGTTAAATTACTGGTGGATCTTTTGGGTTCGGCCAGGCTTTGTTTTGTTCATGCTGGTTAGTATTGCACCACCTCTAGTCTCACCTATTCAGCTGTCAGCCCTGCAAGAGGCCATCTCAGCTGAGACTTGCAGAATCATGTCCTCTTTCTGTGCAGCCTAGCTCTTAGCCAAGGGCCTACGGTGAATTCATATGCAGTCTTCTGGATGTCTCTCTCTATGCAGCTCTTTCTTGTCAGTTACCCTGCCCTTCGAATTCCAGCCACATAAGCCACTCAAAACTTCGGTTTCTGCCTCCTTGGCTTAGTAAAACTGTTATTCTGTTTAGTATTCATTCTCCTGCTTTGTGCCAGAAAGTGGCCGTGGTAGAATGCAAGGGTGATCATAGCACTCAAGGATTACAGTGTCGTCTGTGTTCTCTGCTTGAAAGCAGTTGCTTCAGGTATTTCATCATGTATAGCTTTTTGGCTGGTGGTTAAATCCAGTACTGCTCTTCATGGCTAGAAACAACTATATTAGTTTTTATTAATATACTCTCCCGTTTTCTCCTCTTTCCCCTCTTTTCTATCTATTCTTAGAGTTTCAATTCCCTTTCTGTTTTTAACTTTTTATTAATATTCACCCATTAGAAATAAATTACTAACACTTTGGTATGTATTTATTTAATGTGTTCCCTTTTTAGTTGTCTGCATATAAAAATAAGAGAACAGGAGAGAAATTTAGTGGAATTTCTGATGCTGTGGATGGTAAAGATTAGAGCACAATTGGGAGAATGTTTTAAAGAACATAGGGGCACAAAATATTCACAAAACATATACCATTTCTCCCATGCTTCCAGGCACATGCAGCCAGCAGTGCATTTTTCTACTACATATCACTACCCAAAAGGTCCAAAAAACAATGAAATTCATCCCATTTGGCATGCATCTATTTTCTCAAAAGGAAATGAAGCAAATACAAAACCTGAGATAAATTCATCGGTAAGAACTACTTTCATTTTTATTCCAGTTTCCATAATGGAAATTTCTGATTGAAGAGCAACTTTTATTTGCTCAATAGAATTAGATGAGATGGGAAATCAATTTAGTATGTATGTATTGAGCATCTAGAGAATGTTGTGAGGCA